GTCTCCCGTTCCAAGTCAGCATCCTTCTGCCGCTCACTGAGACTCTTCGTCTGCTCTGGTGGACCCACCCTCTGCTCAGAGACTGGCAAACTAGGTCACAAGTACCATCTCACCGCCCTGGCATGCAAGAGAGCCTGCCTTCAGCTCACAGCCCCCGGAAGGACTCCCCCAATCCGAACAAAGCCCATGTCCATGGCCTGCCTCTCAGCAATATCCCTGTAAGAAGTACGCAGGGCTTCCATGGAGTTCATGCCCTCAGCATTAGTCAGACGCTATTGCCTGGGCATCCACGCAAGGATCATCCAAAGTTCTCCCAAACAGATGCATAGCCATAGACACTTCCTGACAACCACACAGGTGTAAATGCACAGATGTCCACTCAAAGAACAACCGTTTCAGGTAAACAACCTGGCTTGTCATCAGCACATCTCTTGCCTTTTTCCTTCCCAACAGAGCTAAGCAGATGGCTCTTGAAACGCAGTCCTTCCTTTGAGCTAGACGTGGCTTTATGATCATGATTCCTAAGAAGGCTATTTGCAAGTAGTATCCATCAAAGTCACAGTTCCTCGGGTTTGTGGGCGCAGCTCTTGCCCATGTGAAGAGTTAATTCCAAGCTGAAGAATCCCCCTTCCCTTCCTTCCTTCCCCAGAGGCTTCACTCCACCTGCAGGGAGATCCACAATGCTTGTGGGCCAGATGGTGGGAACGCTGGACGGTACCTATTTGGGCTGTTTGTTTGGCTTGGCACCAGTTCCCTGGGTTAATGAATTCACCCCCTCCTCCCCAGCCCGTCCCCGTCCTATACTGCCTCCACGCCTGCGGCAGTTCGGTTCTCAGCAGCTGGCTGACAACTCTCACTCATTAACCTTGACACCTCCGTGCCGTGCTTCAGCCCCTCTCCTCCCCGTCGCGCTCTCGTTCGGAGCCTGGACGGGGAATGTTGCGTTCAGAGGCAAATGGGCCGCATCTGTGCACGCAGAAGAAGCAGTTCCCCAAGGAGGATGCCCGTTGCTTCCCAGCCTGACTCACAGCTTTGACCTTGCCTCCTCCCCATCGGCCTTGGAGGAGCGCAAGCTGCGAGCCACATCCAGGTTATTTTTTTATTTATTGGATGTGTTTAAAAAGCCACCCACTAACCTCACGTTCTCTGGGCAACCATTACAACAATAAGTACCAATAAAATATGATCAAATAAAACCAATGCAATTTTAAAATCAGGCTAAAACAAAGCAGGATAGAATATCGTATGCATAATTAAATACAAAGAGGAAACATAACATATTAAAACAGTGCAATCGGCGGAATGTCTGCATAGCACCATGGGCTTGCCAAAAAAGGAAGTTTTTGCCATAATAGCATTCATTGCAATCAAAAGCACATCTCAGAGTAGTTTGGAACAGTTTAATTTATTAAACTGTTCAATGCATGAAAGAAATTAATGCATCCCAGATACGAGCCCCCAGGACTCCTTGCAACAGTCTCATTTTTGCTACCTTCCAAAAGCACAGGAAGAAGTGGAACCAGGAAAATCTCCACGACTCCATCAGCACCGTCCCTCAGAAGGGCTTGTCTCATGACTGCCTGTTCCAGACAGAACAAGGTGTCCCGTGCTCATTTTGACACTCAGATTTCTCTCTCTTCGTTCCTGTTATAATCCCCTTTGATTTATTTGCAGGAAAACCAGGCTGCATGTATATATATTAAAAAAAGCTACTATTATTCGTTTATTTTCTGCCACAGATATAGTCTGCCATATATATGCAAGCAATGGTGGAAGTCCTCGTACATAAAACCCAGAGCTCTGCTACTGCGTAAAAAATAACTGAATTTGTTCAGCTATTTCTGGCCCACCCCTCCTAAAAAGTCCGAGGCAATTTGCCTTCCCCCGAATTTTTTTTTAACAAAATACAAGGGGAAATTGCAGAAAAGAACAAAAGCACTATCAGAAAGGAGAAACTAGTTGCAGAAGAGCAGCAGGTAAAAACAACTGTGGGAAGTGAGAACTCGGAGAAGTAGGAAGAGAGTACTTGGATTTCTGAAGAGTAGTATCTCAGTTGAACAGAATGGGGGGGGGAGCAATAAATGTCCTCATCTCAGACACAGAGAAAGTCATGATGTTTGTAGGTGCTCCATAATGGCCAGCCCTTGTCAGACAGACCATCTGAAACACTTTTCAGCACAGGACACTGTCTCATACGGAGGCCGGCCACTGCTCCATGATATTTTTGGCATAGAATAGGAGCATAGGACCTTCGACCAGCAAAGCAGGCAATCTGGAGCTGGGGACAGTAGCGTGGTAGGCCAGCAAACCTGAAAGGACTGGGGAAGGGTGTTCTCCACTTTAATCAACACCAGAGGTGTGGTTTCTAAATAAACTTCCAAGGAAATGTTGTTGTTAGTCGCGAAGTCATGTCCAACCCATCACAACCCCATGGACAACATTCCTCCAGGCCTTCCTGTCCCCCACCTTCCCCCGGAGTCCACTCAAGCTCACGCCGACTGCTTCAGTGACCCCATCCAGCCACCTCATCCTCTGCCGTCCCTTCCTTCTTTTGCCATCTATTGTTCCCAGCATTGGACTTTTCTCCAGGACGTCCTTCCTTCTCATTGGGTGGCCAAAGTATTATTGCATGGATTTGGGGTAAATTGAAGGATTTCTCAGCAAACACATGTTTGCACAGTAGAGGAGGAAAGCGGGACGGGGTTGGCAACAAGGGAGGGCCTATCCCATCCTGTATCATCCGGTTCCCCCAGGGCAATATCTCTTATATTATCTTAGCAGGCTGAAAGCTATTAAAACCTACCAGAGGAAGAAAATCTTCAGGTTTACCTGTGGACAGGTCCAGCCTGCCCCTTGGTTTTCTAAAGGGTATACACATTTCTCTTGCTTTGCTGAGTTCTGCTCTCAACCCCCCCCCCCCCGCCAATAGTTGTGTGAAGGTTCAGGGTCTTCTGTCTCTTCTCCACGAAAACTCGGTAGGATCACTCAGTTGAATTTTAGCATCCTATAAAATTAGAACTCTGGGTCTTTCCGGCTCCTTGATCTTGCTCCGTCTGACTCTTGGATGTGTTAACAGTTGTCCTTCACACTCTTGGGATGAAGCATTACTAGTACCTTAATCTCCAACTGTCAATAGTTCTGAAGCAAAGTACATTTGTTGTAAGCTCTCCAAATGTCAGAGCAAACCTGTGTTATGTGTTTAGCCTTAGTGTTTGGCATTTGCTCTTCCCAGCTGAGAAATGTAGGCAGAGTCTTGGTCTGGAGTTGCTGTAGTGCATTTTAATTACGGGTGGCAGGCCTCAAACGTGAAGCAAGAGGGGAAACGTCAAGCGAGCGATACCATTCTCTGGGCCTTTCATTTGTATGTTTTCATGTTCCGGGATAAACCCACCGTTTTGCTGCAATCATGGGTGGCAAGGTAGTGACAGTGCCGCTTTCTTGCACTCCTATTTGCAGTGTCTGGAATATAATGCAGACCTGTATTCGTGTAAGGATTGTTCAGTACACCTGGACCTTACTCTACCTGGACACCACGCTCCACATCTGAGGCCTTCCTCAAAGTGCCATGTCCAAGGGAGACCTGGAAGGCAGAAGCAAGGAAAAATGCCTTCTTAATATTTTTTGGCTTGCCTGGTGCCAACTCTGCTTTCTTTTCAACCCCACGTTAAGACTGCCCTTTATACTCAAGTACTGAATGGCTTTAAAGAGCATGGGGATCCGGGCTGCTATCGGCAGAGTTCTTCGATTTTGTTTTCTTCTTTTAGCAAATTTAGCTGCATTGGACTTCTTTTACTGCCTCAGATTGCTTTAAATGTGGTGCTAAAATGTTATGCTGTTTTGATTGTGCGCGTGTGTTTTATGGTGTTGCATAAATCACTGTGACTCACTCGGAGAGCTTCAGCTATTGGGTGGCCTATAAAAGAAACAGATGAATATACTCTGTGTAGCTCTCTGAACACACTGAAGTCTTGTATAAATGCCACAGCCAACATCCAAGTCAACACTAGCACAAATTCAAATGATGTTGCACTATTGTAAGTGATCTGTAGCACAACACCAACAGAGAATGGAACAGGTTCCTATGGAAAATCCATTTGTTTGATGTTTTAAAGTGAGGAAGCTGGTCCAGGCACCTTACTTTAGATTTGAAAATATTTAAGAAACGGAACCACCTATGTCAAAGATGGTTGTAAACCATCCCAAGACTTTTAAGTATGGGACGGTGTAGAAAAGTTTCCAATAAATAAATATAGAGTTAATTGAATAGGATAATGAAATATGGAGGCAGAATATTAAGGAAAGCTTACACTCCCCTTCTTGGGAGACAGGAGAGGGAAGAAGCTGCTTCAGTAAGGTGGTTTTGTTCCCACAGCAGAAGCAGCTCTTGTCTAAGGAATACGCTTGAGGCATATGCAAGGCAATGTAGCATCGAGGCAGTTATCCCTGGTGTTCTTCCTAACAAGTAAAAGACCACAGGGCCTTCCAGAATCCATTCTAGCTTTTGAAGACTGGGAAAATTCACTACACTACCTGTTGAACTACCTCTTTGCTGTTCTTCCAGGAGGCAAAGCCAGCACCCATTTGCACAGCTGACACTGTTGGTGCTCCACTAAAGGCTGCTTATGCCTGTGCAACATAATTTACATTGATGCCGATGCTGACTACCCTAAACATTTACTTAGAATTAATTGGGCATAGAGAGAATAAACGATCTAATGCTTTGTACACAAGTCAATTTTCTTCTTTGCCTGTCTTTGTAATTGTTTACATGTGTGATAAGAGCCAATATTTTAAAATGTTCTCTCTCTCTCTCTCTCTCTCTCTCTCTCTCTCTCTCTCTCTCTCTCTCTCTCCCC